GGCCCAAGAAGAGACTGCCCTGCCAGACCAAAGAAACAAACCTCGGTGGGAGGCACCGTTAGGAGTTGGTGGCACTCGCCACACTGCACTTGGCAATACCCAAGGTGGTACACCGAAATGAATCGTGGCACCAAGAAGGTAGGAGTTCGTCAAGATCAATCTTGAGCCGTAGGCGTATGTACAAGTATCCGGATGTCACCCCGGTACTGAGTCGTCTGTCAGCTTCTGTATCAGAATTCCAGAATGAATGCCGGGTCACGGGACTGTGCACACACGACAACAAGTTGCAGCTGAGTCGCTCGGCCACGTCGATCTTGTCCCCCGCTCGCCCGCATGAAGGACTCCACCGTGGCGAGGAACTTCTTTTGCAAACAAGTCGCTCTGGAGTGATGTATCCCATTGTCGACGACGACGGCGACGACGAGCACTTCGCCCACTAATGAGCATAGTGCGCCATCAAAACTGTGCATGAAAAGTAGTGAGAAAACATCATGACCATCATCCACTGGTAGGAAAAACGGAGCGGCCATCGTAGGACTTGTAAAAGGAAAAGCAGGGAGACATGATGAACAGACTGTCGCTGAGGTCATGCTCTCAAACCAGCAAAAGATGAGATCCACAGAAAACACCAGCAGCTTACTGTCGCTGTCTCGCCTTGCGAAGCAGGGACCAGCAGACTTCCGACCCAAGCGTTCAGCGTCAAACGATTCCAAGAGCTGACACAGTACATTGTAAAATGGAAAGATGCGGCCATAGAGGGTAGGTCTACAATCCAGGATGATGTGCTCCTTCTCTGCCGTGAGGCGCAGTGACTGAACTCACGAGCAACTGCCGCCGCCTCTCCTGCCAGGAGCTCTGCCACCAACGCCTGAAGAGCCTTCGCCGCCGTTGCATCCTGGTGGAATGAAAGCATCGGAGAGGCCAAAGAGCACTGCAAGCGCAACTGCTGTCGCACAAGCTCCAAGCGGATGAGGGCGTCCGGGTCGATGATCTGCTTTCCACTGATCCACCGCCGCAAGGAGCCGCAGAGCAAAGACGTTGTCGGAGGCGAAGCGGAACACCGCGGCACACTGCAGCTGCAGCTGGTCAAGCTGGTCCTGCTGACTGACAAACGCCAGCGTAAGCTCAGCGTTCGAGAGAGCGACCAAAGGCTTGCGAGCATGATCAGCGCGGCCACCAGTCGGCTGTTGAGCTTGCAGAGCATCCTGACTATTGGCGCTTTGCCCAGCAGCACGAGCACGCTTGTGAACCGGACTGCCCGTCCCCGCCGGTGCCGCAGGTGCAGCTTGAAGAGCCTGCAGGAAAGACTGTGCAGACGGCGCCCCGGTCATGGCTCAGCCTCTGAGGCAGCAAGAAACGAGCCTGTGATCCCAATGCCTGTAATTCAAGAATGCGTAGCTGCGCCATGCTGCAAGAGCATGTCAGGCTGTCTGTGCAGGGCGGGTTTGCTGTCATCAAGTGAAGGCGATGCCTTCCCACACTCAGCACGCATTTCTCACACTGCAAGGAATGCAAAGGTCATGAGCCGACTAAGCGGAAAATGCAACTACACTGGAATCAATGCTGCTTGCGACTTCGGTGAATGCCCAATGCTTTCGAGGTGTCAAACTCCTGCCCACACTGCGGACACGGCAGCTTGTAGCGACCTGCACGCAACACTGCACCTGAGCCAGCTCGCCCAAGACACTGCTCCCGGGTGTGGCGTCCAAGCTGAGTAGCTGTTGTAAACGTCATGCCACAAACTGGGTCAGGGCATGTAAACAATCTCGCTGCGTACTACGTGTGCAGGGACCCCCAACTTGCGCTGTAGCAAAGTCCATAGCAAAGCCCGAGGAACCGCATCGAAGGCACGAGTGAGGTCAATGAACAAGACGTACAAAGAGTTGCTCCCATTGGCTCGAGTAGGACGAGAGCAACTCCACTCCTGAAAAAGTCGCCGCATCAAGAAGAGTGCGTCCGTGCAGCCTCTGCCTCTCCGATAGCCTGTCTCAGATTCAGCATAATGCTTTTCGGCAAGTTCGGATAAGCGAGACAGCATCTTGCAGACGACTTTATTGAGTACGTCCAAAAGTACAATACCTCGATGTCCATCAAGGTCAGTGACGAGGCCGCGGCCTTTCCAAATTGAAAACAATAGCGAGGAGTGCCAGGTAGTCAGATCAAGCTCCTCCCCACGCCAAAGTCGTTGGACCAGGTCATGGAACTCGGCGACGACAGCGTCACCAGCAGAGTCAGTTGTCTGAACGACGAACACCTTAGGAGCTTGGCATGCACACCAGAAGCGTCGGGAGCCTTGCCGTTGGACAACTGCGTGATGGTACACCGAAGTTCGTGCTCCGTCGGTGAGTCCCAAGAGATGTCAGCCGCACCAGAAGACAAGTCCGGAGTTTCGTCCCAGATGTGCGGAGACACCGGGCGCTGCACGTTCAAGACAGCCTGAAAGTGAGCAGCTTTGGCAGTCACGTCGGCGTCTGGCGACGCTGCTAGAGGCTCCACAGAAACACCTTGTGAGCGAAGTAGACGGCCCATCTCCTTAGCATCACTAAAGGCAGTAGCCGCATCGTTGCGGCGAGCGGCTGCTTCGAGGCGCTGCAGGCGACTTGACCACCATCGAGACTTGAGGTCCCGAACAACTCGACGAGAGGCGTGGCGCGCATCTCTTAGCTCCTGTAAGCATGCCTGAGAACCCGGCGAAAGACGGAGGCCGTCCAGAGCCTGTTGACGGCGTGCGACTGCGGCCCGAAGAGTAGCTTCGTGCCCATCTCGCCAGTCAGAATTTCTGCGCTGTGCTGTGCCTAGAACGGAAACTCCAGCCTGGTACAGGTCGTGAGACAGCGAAGGAAAGCCTTGAGCTGCGCCCTGTCGAAGGCGCTCCACTTCCTTGACGTACTGGGTGGAGGCGTCCCCCTCCTGAAGCTTGGCAACACACAAACGAGGCAGTCTTTTGTCGCAGGTAGCTGTCGGAGCCGCATATACATACCGAGGAGCCGCGCGCAGCTTCAAGACCATGAGACGATGGTCACTGTTCACCTCTGCATGAGGAAGGGAGTGAGTGTCAAGGACATAACACCAGTCTGTAGCACGGCCCACTGCGTAATCAATCATGCCCTGCGTGCCCCACCGTCTGTGAACCCAGCTCATGAGCTCGTCAGCAGAGTGCTGAAAGAACGTGTTGAGGACCTTAAGGTAAGCTTCAGAGCAAAAATGAAGAAAACATTCCCCATTGTTGTTCAGCTGGCCAAGGCCATACGGTCCATGTACTCCTTCTGCCGCGGGTGAGGGAGCAGCTGCAGAGTTAATTCCGATTCGAGAATTGAAATCGCCTAGAATCCAGGCGGGTTCTCGTGCGGGCAGCGCCTGCCACACGGACTGCAACTCATC